TTCATTCATATCAGGTGTGTTGGAGCAGAGGAACAAGTAAAACATGCAGGGCTGCGGACCTCCAGGACCAGGACTGCCCATGCCTGGTTTAGGGGAAGGATACAGAAAGCTATCTCAGAGATTTCAACTTTCAGTCTCCACTGTGAGAAACACTGTGAGAGAGGACCACAGGCASAGTTCAAGTGTAGGCTCCAAGTGGCAGACAAAGAAAAATCTCCAGTGGTGTATCGCGTTCCATTTGTGCCATCGGGTTGCACCGCAGTAACACTGATTTGAGAGCAGGTATCAAAATATGAACAAACAATTTGAACCGTGCGCACTCAAATCACACACACGCTCAYGCAGCTCCCTCCCTGCTTGCTCAACTCCCTTCCTGATTGTGCGCGACTCCTCTCCCTCCTCTCAACTTTATGTCTGCTCGCGCGGCTCCCTCCCTCCCTCCTCTCTACTTCCTCTCCGCTCGCTCGCAACTGTCTCTGTATGAAGCGCCGAAGTGGACAAAAGCTGGACGAAAATCCAGCTTTTGTCCACTTCGGCGCTTCATATCTCTGCGCTCTCAACGAGAAAGGGTTATCTRCGGAATCAAAGTGGGCGTGTCACAAGAGTGGGCGTGTCTAAAGCATAAACACTGTGGGCTACGAGGCCTACATGACGGTATCCTGCTAGAAGTTTTTACAGCCCGACCCTGACTCCAACACTAAGGCTAACCAGGAGAAATGTGATGACCCAAGTGGGGGTCTCCAGAAAAAGTGGTGCCGTACAGTAACGCCCCTTTTGTTCTTGTCCAATCAGGTGGTGYCGTACAGTAACGCCCCTTTTGTTCTTGTCCAATCAGGTGGTGCTGTATGATATCGCCACTTTTATTAGGGGTGCAACAATACATGTACCCATATCGAACCGTATCGAACAATACAGATTTTAAGAATTTACTTCATCAACTTGTCTTCTGAAGATGCTCTGTGTTAAAGGATCAGTGGAACTGTGTTTGACTACTCCACCTAGGCTGATGCACTGAGAAACCTGCTGTTTCAGCAACATTTAATTTAAAAACTGTACTTTTGAGGTTAAACAAATGTTCATAATTAATATAAATAAATTACAAGTTAAAA